AACACCGTAGCTGCTGACGCAGCCGAGCTATAATTTTGGAAGTCTGCCGACGGCATAAGTTCGACGCCCCCGGAGGACCTGCGCTTGGCCCGTTTCCAGGTGTCAAGGATCATGGGTTGTCGGAGGCGTACCCTGTCTCCTCCTTAGCTCTAGATCAAGCAAAAAGCTCGCATACGTCGATCGCAGGACGACGGGCGGATTTTACCGTGAAGCTCGCGGTTACGTTACAAGATATTATCCATGTATACGGGGTGTTTGGATTTAGGTATTCGCTGTCGATCGTGTACAGGCAAAACTCGTTAAACTGAGAAAAAAGCTCTACCATTTTGTAAACTACTACGGTAATCTATCATGGTAACGAAAGAACATTGGTCAATCGACGTGCGCGATGCTATGGAGCGAACTGAAAAAAGTCTTGTAATAAGTTAACAAATGCATTTGGTTAAGTGTTTTGGTTCAACATTTAATAATTAGTATCAAATATAGTAATAGTTACTAACCATCTGGTAATAATGACAAAATAATTAGTTAAACAAATTCTTCATTTAGATAAACCAATTAAATGTTTTGGTAAATAATGTCAAATGATTGCTAATCATTACTAAGTAGTTTAACTATTATCAAAGTATTTGGTCGTTACGTATATTTATTACAATATTAATGCAGTAAGTATCGCTAAACAATATGGTTTTATCTAACAAATTGTTTGATGATTCCTGCTACAAATTAAATAAATTAGTAACAGTAAATATATATAAATTAGTAACAGTCATTAAGTCTTAGCAACAATTTTGGCCGTAGAAGTTATTTATTAAAATTTACCGGATTATTTGATAGTATTCAACTACAAGTTTATAGTTAAAACCACTTCAACCAAGCATTTAATAAGTATTATCCAAGCTTGAAGATTATTACCTTTTTTTTTAATATAGGAAGTCATGAGATAGTCAAGAAACATATTTTAGATTTGTTTTCTAATATTTTGATTGAATAGAAAATGTTGGGATATAAAATATTCAATTATGGATAAAACACTCAATTATTGATTTCCTTTAATCACTGACACTCTAGAAGAGTTTGATTTTTTTGCGACCAATGTCTGTAGTTCACAGTTTTAGTTGGAAAGTTCTCTTTTATTGTGCAGTCAAGAAGTTTAACTGCAATGCTGGTCGCATGAAAAACCAGGTTTTTCTCCTAGAATGTCAATTACTAAGATGTCAATAATTGAGTGTTTTCTTTTAGACGTGTGAAAAGATCATATAAGACCGCATTGTTCGCTGCTTGCAAATTTCATTGTTTATCGAATTTATTAAGTTGCTAAGAAACAGTCAAAAGTCTAAGACATATCTCTTCAGATTATATATACAATTCGTCCCATCGTATCACATGAATTGATTAACTAATTTCCTTCAAGATTTAAAAAATTATCACAAATGTCTGCAAATTGTAGAATATTTTTCTATACAATTTAGAATATTTTTCTACACAATTTAGGGGAATGCTGAAACTAAAATCTTTACCGACAGAATACTGACTTTTGTCTGTAAAGTTTACGTTGTATTGACTGCACAGCATCACAAATATTCTTAAACGTATTTCTTACAGAAATACGTGCGAAAATGAGTGGAGTATTGTTCGGTATATAAAAAAATGTTCAAAGTTGACATTTCGAGTGTAAATTTATCTGTCAAACGCTGTCACTTAGGGCCAATTGTTTCAACTTCTTGGTAAGCTACCTGACAGTTAAATCATACATTTATCTATGTTTTTTCTTCAAATTGGGCAGAGATAGACATGATTTAACTGTCAAGTAGCTTACCAAGAAGTTACAACAATCGGCCCTTAAAGTAAATATTCACCTGATATAAAAAATCTATAACTTGTATATATTGAATACACGGGTTTACTCCGCTCAGAAAAATTTCAAAGAATTGCTCTACATCTGAAGCTTAAAAATATCGAAAGCTTAAAAATATCTTGTTGAAAGTTTGCAAAAAGATTTCTATATAAGCGTGGTTCGGTTTTCCGCCAAATACGGTAAAAGAAAGCAATACACATTTACGTAAGATTTATATGTATAAGAAATGTGAATAGAATAGCTTATGTCAGTACGATCACTTCTACGTTATTGTTATTGGAGTTCGTCATCGACTCCAGTATTTTCTTAACAAATTCTGCCCACATCTAATTCCCATTAAGAAACTATCAATAAGCTCAAACATGTCTTTTCAGATTGCTTACACTCATTCGCTAATTTTCTTTCGTTAATATTTGAATAATCATCGTGGTTATTTACAAAATGATTATTTTTCTATTCAGTTTAATGAGTTTTACGAGTTTAATCATCGTTCGAAAATCTAAATCCAGACACCTCGTATATTTATCCTTTATTTCGCCGCGAACCGTGAAACGACGGCGCGAGTTTGTCTTCGTAAATTGGCCGGTTTTAGTTCGAACGGAGAATTTACTATCGCGTGACGCTGTCGTTTAAAAATCCATACACCCACACACGTACGTTCGCTCACTCTCACATTTATAT